GCCGGAGGACTATCTGTTATTGGCAGAGCCTTATCAACATTTTCTTAGTGCTGTTATTAAGGGAGCCAGCTTGCCCCAAGCTGATGAATTTTAAAAGAAGCATAAAATAATTTTTTAAAAAACACCTTGAAGCCGAAAGAGTAATGAATGTTTAAAAACTTGGCTCGTTTGAAGCTTCTCTCTGCAACAGATTAACCCATTCAGTGGTTACTGGCTCCAAAAAGATGATTATTAGCAGATTCCAAAAACCATGTTAGACATTAAAATATCTCTGTCCGCTTAAATCTTAGAAGAACCCTGTGAGGCAGGAATTGCTGTCACACCCCCAACTCGGCCATAACCAGGGGAGCTGGACCCACACCTGGGCCCAAGAGCCTGTGCGGCTCCTACTCAGCTCTTCACGTGGGGCCCAGCCACGTTCTGGTCCTCCACCGCAGTCCAGGTCCTGGTGGCCCCAAGGGCACAGCTAGACACTTCGAAGAGGAAGTCCACGCAGAGGCAAGTCTGAGCTCCACAGAGGATCAGCTTCTAGCAGAGCTGTCCAACCAGGAAGGAGTGAGTCTCCTGTCCCTAGAGGTATGCAAGCAGAGGCTAAACTCCCACCTTCCAGGAAGACAGTATGAAGAACACCAGCCTCAGGTCATCTCCGTACTCAATGGCATCGAGATGACCCTCATTCCAAGAGAACTTACCACAAGCAGCATCATGTCAGCAGGCACGAGCACCGCTCTGCCAGGCCCTGCTCCAGGGGCCCGTCCAATCCCAACACCTCCGCAGGTGAGGCCATCAGCCCCATTCACAGATGCTCAGAGAAGGTAAGTGGCTTGTCCAAGGTCACACAGCCTGGCCCGCATCCAGCTGTCACCCACACTGTAGGTTTGCCACTCTGCATCCTGCTTGAAGTCAATTCCATTTGTGGAAAGCAATCTTCCCATAGGCTGGGGGATCTTGTCTCCACAATACTGAAAATCACTGCTATTTATTGAAACTGTGCTTCACGCCAGGCACTCTTCTACGTACATTGCAGATATGTGGGCATTGGCTCCCCTTGTTTCTTTATGATACCTCCTGTGCAGGCAGGGGGCAAGCCCAGCCCAAGGCACGTGGAAAAGAGGAGGGAGTGGGGATGGCCTGGGCAGCATGTGAGAGAGCAGAGCTCACAGCGCTGATGGGAGGCTGGGAGCACCCCCAGCAATGGCGCCTGGCTGCAGAACGGGGTAGGCTGCCCACGCTCAGGTGGTTTATATGGCTGGCTGTGTAGCCTTAGTCAAGTCATTGCCCCTCTCTGAGCTTGGGATAGTCCGTGGTTTAAAGCAGAGCTCCAAGCTCTGGATGACAGGGATGAGAGGACAATTTGGGAAACTGAGGCAATCAGGCAGAGTTATAAAACCCACGATTCCGTAAGCCCAGCACCTCCCAGGCCCACTCACCAGTTTCCCTGCTGGGAATGTTAATCTACCCTCCCTGCCTGGGGGATTTGGGAAGGGAGATCCCACCACTTGCAAAGTATTAGGTCCCGACGATTAAGAGCAGGAGGTAGCGGTCCTTGGAAGCTGCCGTCTCGGTCCCATTTGCACACTCAGATTCCATTTGCACACTTGGCCTTCTTCCAACCAGGACCTCCAAGGGGCCCAGTTTCCAGCCCATTTCCAGGGAGTTGATCCTCCACGTCCCTTCATCCATTGTTTCTTCATTCAACAAACATTTACTGGGCACCAGCAATGTACCCATCCCGGAGCTCAAGCACTTTCAGGTCCACGTACCCTTGCTACTCTGGGATGGTGCTAATTACCCACCATGGGCCTGGAGAGAGGACACAATCCAGCCACGGTCACATGGCTAGGAAGGGGCAGGGTCTGTACTCAAGCCCAATGCTTTCCTGCCAACCAGCCAGCCCTGACCCTCTGTGGCTGAGATAAACCCACAGCCCAGGGCCTGCCACCTGAGCCATGTGCATTCACGTCTGAAGGTCCTGGATTTCCCACCGTCCTGGCACCTGTCACAGTTTAGCAGGTTACCATGGTATCGCTCCCCAGCACCCTGGGCAGCGGGGACCACCATCTGTTTACACGGCTGTCAGAGGAATTGATGTCATGCGAAATTGTCAGCTCAGCAGGGTGGGAGGAGGAAGAGTGGGCGGCTCTGAAAGCTTCCAAGCCATCAAAACTCATCTGGATCAAATCCCTGAGCAAGTGGCTGCTCCCCTGTGGGGAGTGGAGGGGAAGGGGGTGGAGAGAAAAACAACCCTGAGGGAAGAAGCCGGGAGCAATAGTAATGGTTAGTATTATTCTTTCCATTTTCACAACCATTTACAGGTCACAAGCTCATTTCAGCCTCCCACAGCCCTGAGAGGTGAGCATCACCATTAGCTCCATTTTACAGATGTTCCAAAATAGAAAACTGAGGCTCAAAGATGGGAAGAGCCTGCTCGAGGTCATAGCAAACCCGACAGCAGGCCCAGTAGGAAACAGCCCCCTGCTCCTCAGCCTAAGAGGCTGGGAGTTGCTTTTGCCAAGAGGAGAGGCAGGCCTGCCCCAGGAGGTCCTGCCCAGGGACACACAAGCCAGTTTGAAAAGAGGGGGGGAAAGGACGTGAAGAGCACTGGGCTGAGGGCCGGGAGTCCCGGGTTCTAATTACAGCTCTGACATAAGCAATGCTGCAATAAGGAACAGAGCAGCTGGCAGCTGCCCAGGGCCCACTAAGACACCTGAATATCCTTGGCAATAGAACCAGAGAGTAGAAATCTGTTACCTGCCTACTCAGCAGCCATCCCCCTTCTTCAGTAACAGCCTACTGCTTCTCCTCTGGGAGCCCAGCTCCTCTAGTCTCACTCCTCTGCGGTTTGGGAGAGGCTGACCCACACCCAGATGACCTGGCGCTAATCCAACCAGTATATCTGAACTCCGGGCCATGGTGATTGGCTCAGGCCCAGGCACATGACCCAAAATGAGCCAATGAGAGTCAGAAAAGAGAGTATCTCCCTTCTGCTGGCCTGATAAAAGGAGACAATGCAGGCCAGAACTAGGTCTCCATCTTGCACCACAGGGGCAGAGCCCGTCCAAGAAGGGAGCCAACATCAGGGAAAGCAAGACCAGGGAGGGGAGAACCACAGATTTCCCCTGGATCCAACCGACCCTGAAGGAGAATGTATTGGACTTACATGGACCAATAACTTTCCCTTTTTGCTGAGATAAGTGAGCTGGGTTTTCTGTCACTTGCACCTGAAATAGTCCTGGTTGGTTCATCCCAACTCATCTCAGGAAAGAACCCTGTGGGATCGGGATGAGTCTCTGAAGCAGCAGTGTGGAGGAAGAATGAGACTCCCAGGGCAAACCGAATAATGAAAGGAGCTTGCTAAACCGCCGTCAGAGGAGAGTGTGCAGGCGACCGCAGGTTTCGGTCTGCTGGGTGCGTTATGCAAGTTGGAACCGACTGGAATTTCAAGAGTGGAGGACAGGCTGAGCTGCCACCAGAGTCCCCTTTCTACACCCTTCCCCGTGCAGCACCCACCTCACCTCTAAATAGATGTCCACCAAGTATTTAGAAAATGAAGGGACCTGAAGTATTAGCCTCCTTAGGTGGCCCACTTGTCTCCAGCTAGCCCAAGTCTATGAAGTCTGGGAATCTTGGACAAATCTCCTTTCCTCTCTGGTCTCAGTTTTCCCATCTGCAAAGTGAAGACTCTGCTTTGCATTCCGCTGGTGAGAAGAAGGCAGCAGCGAGGGGCGGGCCTGATTGACGTGCAGTGCGGAAGGGCCAGGCAGAGCTTGGAATCGCCCATCCCTCACTGTGGGGTCTTCCATTCCAAATAAGCACAAGGTTTTCAATTGGGAAACATTTCTTCCTTTAAAAATATATCTCTCCTTACTTCTTAAAGACACAAACTAAAATATTTATGGATGAAATGATACGATATCTGGGATTTGCTTCAAGATCCTATGGAAGAGAGGGTGGGTGGAGGTATAGATTAAACGAGCTCGGCCAGGAGCTGTTGAAACTGGGGTGATGGATGCACAAAAGTTTGCCTTCTCTACTTCTGTATAAGTTTGATATTTCTATAATAAAACATTAAAAAATAAAAATAAGACCTCTGGCCTTCTATCAGCGTGGGCTGCTCCAACACGATTCAACATGCTGCACCCAGAACCTGGGACAGGCCCAGCCGGAGGGAGGTGCAGAGAAGCGGTCCAGGATGATTGACGGAGACAATCATTCAAGCTTTGCGCTTCCTGTGTTTTCTCCCTTCCTGCATCTCAGACAAGTTGGCGGCTTTGTGCTCCCTGACTTGCAGGGGGGCTGAGGCAGGGCAGGAAGGCAAGGGTGCTTGAGTCTTCAGTGACGAGCAGGGAAAAGTTCACTGAAGGTGGCAGGAGAGGGGTGGGAGAGGCTCCCCCAACATGGGAAAGGGTCTCACCTTGGCAAAGCTGCTTCAGTCTTGAGAGTAGCGTAGAAAGCACAGAACCATCAGTTCTGCTGGAACCAAGACAGGGGACGTCTCCATGGTGATCAATGGGCCCCACCAACGCCCCATGCCAGACCGGACCTCTCAGAGCCTTTGGCAAGGCCTAAGAATTCGTGACCTTTGCCTTAAACCGGGGGGTAGCCTGCTCCCATAATGGCTGACCCTGACCTTCTGATCTGTCGGGCGGGATGGGGATTTGGATTTTAATTTAAGCCAATTTAAAGAAAATGAAGAACTATATACTGGTGGGCACATGACAGGGATGGGAAAAATAAGCAGCAGGCTCTGGAGTCTGAAGAACAGGATTCTGATCTGGGTTGTGCTGGTTACAAGTTTTGGGACCCTGGGCAAGTCATTTCACCTCCCAAGATTCAGCTTCTCCATTGTAAGAGGAGGATGACAGAACCTACATGATGGGCTTGCTGGGAGGAGGACTATGAGGGCAATGCCCGGCACAGCGCGCGGCACTTTCCACTTTCTTCTCTCTCTCTGTTCTCCACCCCCACCACCACCCTACATTCAGGAAAAAGTCCTTTAAATGGAACTGTAATTGATATGCAGTCAGCAAAGCCTAATTAAGAATTTATTTTTGTTCCTTGATTAAATGACAGTTTAAAGTCTGGTTTCTCACTTTCTTGCTTGGCTACACAGAGTGCCCTGGAGTCTTCTGCACACAGCGAGGAGGCCTCAGTTAAATCTACAAACAGAAATAGGTCATCTCGGAGCCAACAGCCAGTCCCTGATCCTCCTGCCCTCCAGCCCCCATGCTGCAGAAAGCATGAAACTCGCACTGACAACTCTTGACCTCCTCCAGACTCGCTCCTCTCCTAGTCTACTCTATCTCAGGAAACAGAACCCCAGCCGCCCTGGAATCCTTCTCGATTGTCTCTGTTCCCCACATCTCCCATCCCACCCATCACCGAGGCTGCGCTCCACCCTGCCCCCGCCACCTGCCCGTTTGTCCCCGTTTCCACCTCACCTCCCAATTCAGGCCACCATCTTCTATCATCCAGAGCTTCCTCACGGGTCTCGCTTCTGCCCGTTGCCCTCCGCCTCCTCCCTCCACATGACAGCCTGAGTGTGCCAAATCTAAAGCATAATATTTAAAATATTAATCAAAATCCTTCAATGGCTTTGTGCTGGGCTTAGAGCAGAAATTGGCTCCTTCTCCTAGCATGCACACCAGCGTCATCCAGCCCGGGGCCTGCCTCTGCCCTCGTCTCATTGATCATGGCCCCATCTTTGCTCACGCAGCTCCAGCTCCCTTGCTCTCTCTCTGTCTCTTGAGTACATACGCTTTCCTACCTCCTACTGTTGTCTTCCCACCGCTGCCTCCTCATTCCTCAGGTGTCAGCGCAAGTGTCACCTCTTCAGAGATGCTCTCCCTGACTGCCCCATGTAAAGTAGTCCTCTTACCACCGCCCCCCCCCCCCGTAACTCTTTGTTATATAAATTAGCCAAGGATGGCCCCTGTATTTTGGCCCTTAGGTCATTTCTTCACAGCAGATTGAGACCCGTTGGTGCAAAAGCCCACCAGTGCCACACTCAGATTTTACACATTCAATTGTTTTAAAAGCAGCCCAGACAAGCTGATTTTTAGCCCCCGAGGGCCTGCCTACTTTGCCTATGACACAAAAGTACACCCAACCTCTGCTGGCCCCTGAGGAGATGGAGCCTGTGGTTATAAGAACCCCAGCCGCTACTGCTCTTCAGAGTTCTCTGCCCCAGAGGCTCACCCCACCGCCCCGTGCAGCTGAGCGAGACCAGCCAGATGTGGAAGCCTCGTTCTGCCCCGTCTCCCAGGAGTCCCCTCCTGGATGTGGCTCCTTCTCCAGAAGCCTCTGGACAGACTCTGCTGTGAGGGACTTTCCCCTCACGCAACCCTGTCCAAGCACCCCTCAATAAAGCTTCTGTGGTACCGCCTCTTGTGGTCATCTCTTCTTCCTTGACAAGCCCCAGAACCCCTTGAGCCCCCAGGACTCTTATTCATGACGCCGTTTTATTGTCTTCATCATATTTCTCGCTCTCTGAAATCACCTGGCTACCCGGCTTGCTTTTTGTCTCTCTCCCTCATTAGAACGCAAGGTCCATGTAATCAGTCAAGAAGTCCACAAAAAGGATATTTACCTTGCTAGTAATCAAAGAACTTGCAGAGTAAAATAATGAGATGCTATTTTCTCACCCACGTGGGTAAAATGTTACAGGGTTGACAAAGGTGTGTACTCAAGAGTGTGAGGGGGAAAGGCACGCTCACGCCCTGCTGGTGGCAGTGTAAGTGGGCACAGCATCCTGGAGGGTGTTTCAAAACACACACAGCTGATGACCAAGCAGCTCCACTTCTCAGTGTCTACCCTACAAAAGCATCCTCATGTCTGCACAAGGAGGGATGTTAAGAAATAAATCAATGTAAGAGGACTTGCTCTCCCAGGAAGATGGAGCAGACGTACTTTCCCCCGTTCCTCCTGCCAAATACAACTAAAACTCCTGGATGTTATATCAAGACAAACATTAAAAGATTCTGAAAGGCAGAGAGAAGGCGGCAGACTGGGGGGGGACATCAGGACCTAAGGAACAACACAATGGTGAGTCCCTGGGCTTTCTTTATGCTTCATACATCCCAGACTTGGAGCTAAAGAAGCCAGCAACCAAGAAACGCCAGAAGCACGGACAAAAAAAGGCCCAACAAAAGCCTGCTTTCTCTAGCCAAAGGACCAGGAAATGGGTAACCTAGAAAGGCAGAAAATTTTTAAACAATTACCACCCTACTCCAGAAAAACCATAGTCCCACCCTCACCCACACCAGTAAAAACCAAATGGGGAGCCCAGAACTCCATCCTCACCAGGCTATAAGAAGGTGCCCCAACCCCCACAGCATCCACCAGTTGACGTCAAAGAAGGCCAGTCAGGGAGCAGAAATGATTGCCTCCTCTCCCTATGAAGTCAGTGGAGGCCACACAGGGAGCTGGAACCCCCACAGCCACCCAGCAGTAACAAGGAGTTCCCCCCGCTTCGGGCGTCAGAGAAGACTCCATGGGCCATCTGGACTTCCACTCCCATCTGGCAATAATAAGGCAGCATCCACTTTCCCTTCCCGGGGATGTTTCAGAAGAATCCAGCTAAAACAGAAGCCTTAAATAAGATGCAGAGTCTCATAACATAATACCCCAAAATGTCCAGGTTTTAATCAAGTCACTGTCATACCAAGAATGAGGAGGACCTCAAACTGAATGAGAAAAAGCATCAACAGATGCCAACACCAATGTGACATAGATATTAGAGCTATATGACAAGGATTTTAAAGCAACCATCCTAAAAATGCCTCAACAAGCAATCATGAACGTGCTTGAAACAAATGAAAAAATAGAGGGCCTCAGCAAAGAGATAGAAAAGCATAGAAAGAGAATCAAATGGAAATTTTAGAACTAAAAACATACAGCTGAAATTTTTCAAAAACTCAATGAATGGGCTCAGCAATAGAATGCGGAGGACAGAGGAGTCAGCGAACTAGAATAGAGAATAATAAAAATTGCCTAATCTGAACAATACAGAGAAAATAGATTGAAAAATAATTAATAAAACTGCAGGGACATATGAAACTATATCAAAGATCCAACGCTCAGGTCACTGGAGTCCCAGAAGGAGAAGAAAAAGAGGGCGGGGCAAAAAAGTACTAGAAGAAACAGTGGCTGAAAGCTTCCCAAACCTGGCAAGAGACATTAACCTACAGATTCAAGAAGATGACCAAACCCCAAACAAGCCACAGGAATGAAATTGGGGATATCACTTTACCTATAGAGGAAAAACAATCTTAATGATAGCAGATTTCTCATCAGAAACTACGAATGCCAGAAAGAAGTGGCACGCAGTTTTCAAGAGCTGAAAGAAAAGAACTGTATGCATTGAAAATATTCTTCAGGAATGAAAGGGAAATCAAGATATTCTCAGATAGAGGAAAACTAAGAAATTGCCACCAACGAAACTACCCGAACAGAATGTCTAAATGTACCTCTCTAAACAGATAGGAAATGATAAAAGACATCTTGAAATATCAAGAAAGAACAGGGTAAGCAAAATATGGGTAAATACAACATATTTTCCTTCTCCTCTCGAGTTTTCTAAATTGTGCAGGAGTGGTGATAGGAATATCAGATAAAGTGACTTCAGAACAAAGAAAATTACCAGAGACAGAGAAGGGCATTATATAACGATAAAAGAGCCAGTCCATCAAGAAGACAGCCATCTTAAATGTGCATACACCAAAAAACGCAGCTGTGAAATATATGAAGCAAAACCTGATAGAACTGAAAGGAGAAAAAGACAAATCCAGATATATATTTGGAGATTTTAACACATCCTATCAATAACTGATAGAACAACGAGAAAGAAAATCAGCAAAGATATTAAAGAACTTACCACCAACAACAAACAAGATCTAACCAACATTTATGGAACACTCCACTCAACACATTCTTTGCAAGTGCCCACAGGACATATACTAAAGTAACCATATCCTAGGCCATTAAAAACAAACAAAACAAAACAAAACAAAAAACAACTTCCACAGATTTAAAACAATTGAAATCACACAGAGGATGCTCTCCAAACACAAAGGAGTAAAACTAGAAATCGATAACAGAAAGATCGAAAAATCTCTAAACATTTGGAAACTAAACAGCACACTTCTAAATAACCAATGAGTCAAAAAGGTAGTCTCGAAGATATAAAAAAATACAGAGTTGAGTGAAAACAAAATATATCAAAATTTGGGGCACAACTGAAATAGTGCTAAGAAGGAAATTTATAACACTAAATGCAGCTTAGGAAAGAAGAAAAGTCTCAAATCAATAATCAAACTCCCACCTCAAGAACTTAGAAGAGAGAAAAATAAACACAAAGCAAGCAGTGGAAAGGAAACAATAAAGATAAGAGAAGAAGTCAATGAAACTGAAAACAGTAAAACAATAGAGAAAAATCAATGAAACAAAGAGCTGGTTCCCTGAAAAGATCAACAAAATTGACAAACTACTGGGAAGACTAACAAAGGAAAGAAGAGAGAAGACACAAACTATTAATATCAGGAATGAAGCCAAGGCTATCACTACAGACATCGAAGGGATAAAAAGAGGATACTACAACAACTCTACACATATGAATTTGACAACTTAGATAAAATGGGTCATCTCCTTGAAGAACATAAACTACCTCCAACTCGCCAAATGTTTAATAAATCATTTAAATAGCTCTAAAAGTATTAAGGACATTGAATTCATAATTTTAAAACTTCCAAAAAAAGGAATCTCCAGGGCCAGATGGTGTCACTGGAAAATTCTACCAAATGTTTAGAGAAGAATTAACACCAATTCTACACAATCTCTTCCAGAAAATAGAAAAGGAGGAAAGATTTCTTAATTCATTTTATAAAGCCAGTATTATCCTGATACCAAAAGTAGATAAAGACAGTTGGAAATAAAAACCCTACAGACCAGTATCCCTCATGAATATAGACACAAAAAAACCTTAATAAAATATTAGCAAATAGAATTTGTGGTATATGAAAAAAATTATAGACCATAACCAAACGCTGGTTAATATTTGAAAAACAATTAACATAACCCACATTAACAAGCTAAAGAAGAAAAACCACACAATACACCAACTGATGCAAAAAAAGTATTTGACAAAGTTCAGCACCCGTTCATGACCAAAACTCCCAGAAAAATAGGAATAGGGAGAACTTCTCCAACTTGATAAAAGCTTCTACACAAAATCTACAGCTAACATTATGCTTAATGGTTAAAGGCCATTATACGTTTGCCCCCTAAGATCAGGAACAAGGCAAGGATGTCTGACCTCATCACTCTTCTTATTCAACACAGTGCTGGAAGTTCTGGCCAGTGGAGTAAGGCAAGAAAAGGAAATAAAAGGCATACAGATCAGAAAGCAATAAACAAAACTGTCAGTATTTGCAGATGACATGACTGTATACATAAAAAAATTCCTAGAAATCTACAAAAAAAACAAAAAACAAAAAAACCCCTAGACTTAATCAGTGAGTTCAGCAAGATCACAGGATACAAGATAAACATACA